GCGGTTCGCCAGCCGGGGCTGGCCCCCACCTTCCCTCAGTCTGCTGGCTCCCAGCGGCGGCTGCACCCGCGGCCAAAGCTAATACTGCAGCCGCTCGGGCAGCCGCTACCACTACGGCCCGGCCGACAGGCGTCGCAGCCTAATGCTGTCATCCGCCGCGTCGCCGCCTCTCTGGGCACTCAGAGCCGCCAAGATCCTTCACATTCGAGCGCCCCCCCCGGCCCCGCCTCCCTGCTTGCGGGCTCCGGTCACACCCCCTTCCCGTCACGTGACCTCGAGCGGAGGCGGCGGCCGGGGCACCTCCCCTGCCGAGCTGGCGGGAGCTCACGCGGGATCAACTGTCAACGCCTCGCCCTGCTGGAGCGTTATCTCCACCAAATGGGTCCCGCTCTCCTGGACGGCGGCCTGGGGCTGAGATCCCACCGCCTGCCGCCGGGCGCTGTGACCTGCGGAGGCCCGGCCCTCGGGACCGGTCGTACCGGGCCCTGACTAATCTGAGGCGACTGCACAATAGAACTCCCTGTTCATGGCTCTGGAGGACCCCACGCCCACTCAGAGGCCAGCCCGTGAGACCTGCCTCCCCCAGCCTTGAACTTGGCTAAAGTTTTAGCCAAGCAAGAGAACAATAAGGCATCGATCGTCGTGTCTGGCCTGAAAGACAGTAACTTGTTCCTATTTCTGGTAGCACGCTAATTATGGCATTTAATTTACTGTTTTCTTCATTAGAGGTTTTTCTTCTTCATGAAAGGATGGTGCATTTCAATCACCGTGGGGCGAAAATAGCCTGGCAAACTTATTTTTATTCCTAGTCATGTTCAAGATCCTTCATGCCCAGTTTTACAGTCTTTAAGTTTTACTATGTGTTAGGTTGGTGGCAGTTTAAACATGCACAGGAATTGGCAGCTTTTCCATATTTAAAATAAAGCTCGATTCGTTTATTTTTTCAAAGACCTTAACTTTGGACATAACCTTGGCCTTCCTTTTTTAACCAAGAAGGACTCCTCCCCTCATCCTCACTCTCCACCCTGTTGATGAGGGGAAAAGATGATAAAATACTAGTGTCCAAAAGAAAGTGACAATACAGAAATAAGGGAGGTGGAAAGCAGAAAGATCTTAATCAAGCCTTGCAAGTTTTTTTCTTAAGCAATTTTCATCTCATTTTCTTAAGACTTGAAAAGCATTTTAATTAGGTAGATACTTTGAAATGGATAAGTAAAAGGAGTAAACCTGTATCAGCCTTACTAATACTTGACAGAAACATTAAGAAATCATGGGTTTTGAGACTCACCATTATTTTGTGTTACCCAAGAAAGACACTGCCAATTGAATATGCTATGCCCCTGGTGAATTCAAAGATAGTAAAATTGGAAAAAAAAATTAATCTTAGCATCTGTGAGATAAGATAATGAACTGGTGTCACAGTGATGATAAGATTCTACAGGTTCTGTTCTCTGAAGCCAGATTATACTTGTAGTTCAGATAAACAGAAGTTTGTTATTCTCTGGATGACAGTTTCAGCAAAGCTACTAACTTTGGAGTTTGTCAACAACTTGAAGGCTGTCTCCTATTTGCTGGAGTAGTATTTTTCAAACTGACTTCAAAAATCTATTTTATTTTTTAATGAGATTGGCTAAGATATAATGGCACATAAATTAGTAGAGTGCTTTGCGAATCTTTTGTTATGAGAGAAGGTGAGATTGTGTCCTAAATTGTGATTTAAACTATATTTCTTATTGTAAGTTGCAGTCAAATAGATTTGAATGAGAATATCCCTGGAGTGTAGATAACATGCAAAAATATCCAAGCTCAGTTTCTCTTTACTTTAGGATGTGAGACTAAAGATTAGGGGAAAAAAGGGGACAAATTGCCCTGCCTGACACTCTCCTGCCTTAGTTCCATTTTCTTATATTGGCTGTTGAAAACACATGGTCATTTACTGAAATGTAAGGCACTGTACTGAAAGCAAGAAGGCCTACATTGTAGACTTAACTAATTAGATTAGATGTGTGTGACTAGATAAATTACTCTCTGCATTTCAAGTTCTGATAAAAGTAGGGAGTTGGCCCACACTTGCTCTTTAAGGAATGATAATCAACCTTTTAAAAAAGCAAATGATACTCACATTTGAAAAAATAACCATGGATTATGCAATAAACGCAGGGTTATACAAACTTGTCAAACTAGCTATAACTCTTTCAGCCCCACTCAGAAAAAAAAAAAAATCAACATACAAGTGAAAGCAAAGTTATTGTAGGAAAACAAATGCTTGTATATCTTATAAATTAAAATTAACTTGCTAGAAGTTTCTGTTGAATGATTTCACATACTTCCCATTGATTGCAACACACTGATATGTCAGTATCTACAGTTGAAAAATATGTACTTTCAGAACCTTTCAAATGTAATAGTCTTTGATTCTAGGACATGATCATTCAAGCTTGCATAATCAACATAGTCACAACATAAACAGAAACTGATAAATGAAAATATTTGGATAATTCCCATTTGCTATGTTAAGGAATATATCCAGCATATTTGCTAGTCTTAAAATGATTTTAAGAACAACACTATAAACTAAATTTTTTTTATTATAACCAATTTTAACTCCACTGAGACGTTTGATCTCTTTTGCCTACTGTTTAATTACATGTTTCTGAGAATAAGACATTGTTTTCTAACCCAGTTTAGCATGGACAGACATCATAATCTTCCCCAAGAATATATTTCAAACTTGACCTACAAAAAGATTTGGTTTGAGTGTTTTTTGTTTGTTTAGTCTACCTAATTCGGTACATAAGTTATCAAAGATCTTCATGAAGATTTTAGGTTAAAATTCTTATTTTTCAGAAGAAGAGAGAAAGTGAGCAACCGCAAACAAAATTAAGGTATTCAACATAATTTTGAATACACTAGATTGTAGTGTATTCTTGGTGATGTGACCTACTCTAGCAAAAGAGCTTATAAGCAAATGTGCACATACTAACTGCTTTCAAGCTGAATGCAATGTTCAGGCTAATCTCTTAGTCTTGAGCAGCTTGCCATGAGAAAAGTATGTTCCAAATAAAGAACCATAATTTAAAAATACAAGGAACGGATCTAAAACTGAACTTTGCCCTAGACCAGCACTACAGCAGCTAAGCTGCAGCTACTATTATAACATGAAACAAGGGTAAAATCTAAGTATTTGTTGTTCTACAACACAGAGGTATTTGAAATTGTTATATAGCATAATCTTAAAAATTAGCTAAAGTGAATTGCAGTCAACAGGTCAGTGTTTCAACGGTTAAATGCACTGGAGAGCAAGATTTAAACTTCTATTTAATAAAATAATAGACATCTGAAAAATTCAACCAGATATTTGGTTAAAAAGTAAATGTAGGGCCCTCCGTGGTGGCGCAGCGGTTAAAACGCAGCACTGCTAAAGCCACTTCCGCATGAGTTGGATTCCTGCCTGCCCCGGAGGTGACCACATGGCGTGGCAGACCTCTCCTGACCCGCCCGCTGCTCCCCTCAGCAGTGTATTTTGTAGATCTGCCTGTTCTGCTCCCCACTCTGTCTCTGGTGAAGCCTCTCTCTGCCCCTGAGCCTCTGGCCTGTACCCCAGTTCTGTATGAACAAGTAAATAAATCTTATAAAAAAAAGTAAATCTATATTAAAATGTAATCTTTATAGTCTATACATTTGCTTGCAGAATGTCTGTATATTGATTTTCAGTATGTCTATTTAGTATTATTTATCTTTAAAAAATATCCCTCGAGCCCAGCCTAGTGGCACAGCCAGTTAAAGCACAGCACTAAGAAACTAAAGCCACTTAGGCATGAGTTTGAGACCCCCCACCACCAACCCAGGTGATCCACATGGTGTGGCAGACCTCTCCTGACCCACCAGCTGCTTTCCTCAGCAGTATACTTTCTAGATCTGCCTGTTTTGTTCCCCACTCTGTCTTTGGTGAATCCTCTCGCCACTCCTGTGCCTCTGGCCTGTATCCCAGTTCTATATGCACAAATAAATAAATCTTAAATATATATACATATAAATATATATATATATCCCTCAAGGAAAATTTAGATAAAGAAAAAACAAGAAGACAGGTTTCTGTTACTGGCAATGTTGTAGACTAGCTATCTCAACTAAAGAAAAGTCATGGGAAAATGTTTTTAAACTTTTAAATATAATGATGAGCTAGCAATAAAGTTAGAAATTATTAGGCAAAATAAAATAAAGTTAAGGCAGAGACTTAAGAGTGGAGAACCTAAGGTCAGCATTTACCCCAAGGACATTTGCCAAAGCCAGTTAATAGAAGCTTTGTTCTTCATGACCTTATATAAAACTCCTGACCTAATACACAGGGAGAGAGAGACAAAGCTACAGTTCCAATGAGTGATTATTCCATGTAAAGATGTAGTAGAAATAAACTTGTCCCTTACTTGCTTATTCATACCCCCTCCAGAGTTTACAAAGAAAATTAACTGTCTTAAAAACTGGTATCTAGTGGACAAAGAAGAATATCATATCTGAGAGTTGGGTGTCAAACCCAATTTTAAGACATACAGGTAACATACAGGTAACTGAGTGATTCCAAAACACCATTAATTGGTAAATTAAGTATTATTTTCCACCTGATAATAAACTCAGACATCTGGCAGAAGCAAATGTCAATCCACACTCTAGTAGAACCCATATTCAGGAAAAGCTTAAAGAATGACTATAAATAAAATTCTGAGGAAAATGTGCAGCTCACATTTAAAAAATTAATAAGCACAGAAGGAAATAAGATACCATTAGCATGAGAAATGGTACAAACATAAGACAGTAGGAACAAATTCAAAAGAATCCCAGATACTGAAATTATCAACCATAGGTTATAAA